GGCATCTACTCGCAGCTTTGGCATAATATTTTGGCGAAATTTACACTGAACTTTTGTGGCATTTGCTATTTCACACTGAACTTTCTATAATTTGCCAGAAGACATTCTAAATTTGTGGCCATTTGCTAAAACACACCACCAACTATATAATATGATTTTCTTTGAACTTGGTGAGAGAAATTTTTGTAAATGACTTGAAATGCCCCTAGCCAGTATTACACATCACTTTGCAAGTGTTTTTTTTACCAGTATTACACCTCACTTTGCAAGTTTTTTTTGTCTAGTGGACTGGTTCGCATGGAAGGTCTGCATCCGGCAGCTACAGATAGCTCGTCGAAGCTGCTGAACATGCATGTCAGATTTGCTGCAAGTCCTACACGTAATCATATTTTGTACTACACGAACAACGCTATGCTATTTTTTTGTGCAAGACCATGTAATGCTAAACTACTAATCTTGTGTTGGACAAATATCTATGTGGGCATCGGTTTGCAAATGATCATCTACTACGTTTTATATTGCAAAAACGGTCTTATATATCAGTTAAAATAGCCCTTACAAGTCCAAAGGGTATTCTTGTCTTTTCATCGTCATTCTCTCACCTTAAATCATATAATATGGCTGGTGGTGTGCTTTAGCAAATGGGCACAATTTAGAGTGTGTTCTGGCAAATTATAGAAAGTTCAGTGTGAAATAGCAAATGCCACAAAATTTCAGTGTCCTATAGCAAATTTGGCCTAATATTTTTTGCGAGGTCATGTGGTAAATTTGGAGTGAAAACTCTTATCTGGTAATGACTGCTTCAGACGACGAAGTCATTCTGATGTATCTTTTCTCCTTGGAAGCGCCGTTGTAGATTCAGGGATGTGGTAACTGGAGGAGATTGGTTGTGGTTTCTTATAAGCTATTTTGTGGCAGTCTTTGTGCGGTCTTAGAGGCTGCTTTGGATCTAGGCTCTCGCCACAGCTGTGGGCCTTTACGGCGCCACACTCGCCACAGCTACCATGCGAAAACGACAAGGAAAGTGCGGGCCAAACTGCTGTCGCGGGCTAATATCGGCACAGGAACCAAGCACTTCCAGAGGCGCATAAAGTTTGTTGTGGCCAATTGATGCTGGCAGGAAAACATGCCCTTAGACACTTGGAGGCCAATAGAAGCAAGCAAGTAACTAGAAACCATGGAGTGTTTTGTGGCGCGAAGCTGTATGACATGTTTCTTCTTTTCGTTTAAGTTGTTTCCTCTCTTTTTTTTTTCCCTTAGGCCCCGGTGTGATAGGGGAATGGAGCATTTTTCTAACTACTTGTTTGTTTTCTGTTGTAATGTTGAATTGCTACATGTACGTAGTATTGAAGAAGAACGAAATTATGAAACTGAAGCCCAGGATTCCTAGACGCCAGGATGGTACAACATTGCAAGAACTTACTCAAAACGAAATCTTGCAGGACGGAAACGAAACCTTGCTACATGGAAACGAAATCTCGCGACATGGGAACGAAATCTTGCTGGACTAACGACGCTAGTTAGGTGATGCTCTAATAGTGAAGAAGAAATAAGCGCAGAACTGGGGTGAGATAAGAATGCGTACCGTGTTAGGGCCGGAGCCGGAGTTGGTGGCGCTGGAGTTGGAGTTGTTGGCGCGGCGGCGGCGCTTGTAGGTGAGGACGTCGGACGGTTGCTGGTCCCCCGAGGCTCGGCGCTTGGGGGGCGGGGCCAGGGGCGGGCGGCGGCTGGCGGCGGCACCCTCGGTTGCCATCCGCGGGCAGTTAGGGCCCGTCCTCGCAGACAGGAAACGGCTGCGAGATCCGAGTGGGTTGTGAGGGGAAGGGGAAGAGAATTGTGAGGCGGCGGCGAGAGGAGGAGGAGGGAGGTGTGGGCTAGGGTTA